TCCAATGACTTCCTGGGCTTCTTTAGAGCTGTGTGTGTATACACAATCATTTTAGCAATTCAATTTTTCTTCAATTGTAAACATTTTCTCACCGCTAAACAAAATCTTTTGATAAAGACCATTTGTGTAACGGCAAAGGAGCACTCTGCATCGATCTACTCTAATTTTCTTTATGGAAGTGGTTAGCCTTTGTCCTGTCATTCTTTGAAATGCAGCCATCCTAAGGTCACTTTTTAGTATGTGAGACATTGATCTGGCAGATTCCTATTTCCCATGACATGATTTGTTGTTTCCAAATAGGATTTCTTCTGATTTGAACAGCCACTGTTCTCACTGCATTTGCTGTTCTCACAGAGTGGGGACGGCCTGATCGAGGTCTGTCACATACAGATAGGGTCTCATTATATCTATTTATAGTGCAGTACACAATCATATTTTAAAAGAATGGAATGAATGGTGACATGAAAATAAATTTACCTCAACCATAAGAAGAAATTTCTCAATGTGAATGTAGAAAAACATAATTAATGTTACTGTCCCCAAGGTAAGGATGCGAAATTCTTCATGCTTTGACATGAATCAACCTGCATCAATTAATTTTTAACCCTGGGGAATTTCACTGTTATATGATGTTATTTCGAATTCTATATACATTTTTTAGCTATCTCAAATACTTTCACTATAGCGCCCTTGGCTCGAAGTTTAACTGCATCCTGGAGGAACCTACCTGATAGCCGTAATGAAGGCAATTTGTCCAGGAGAAGGCAACTCCAAAATCAAACCAAGGGTAGGTCGAACTCTTTGACTGTAGTGAAAGCAACTAGCTTTGGGGGAGAAAAACCAGAAAATAAATGAGCGGGTCCTCCAGGTTGGGTGTTGAGCCATGAGGCCAACGACCCTTCCTCAGAAAAATGTTAACGTTCAGAAAACTGAGTTAAAAGGAAAGCCGGATGTTTATAATGGTAAAAGACCTAAGCCCTTTCAATGGCTAAACTAAAATGGGAACAATGTGAGGTTTCATTGGGCACATGTAACGTAAATACAATGTTAAGACTGGGCAAAATGAAACAAATTGACGACCAGCTCATAAAGCATAATACAGACATTACGGCATTGCAAGAAATAAGATGGGAGTGAAAGTGGAAGAATCGATAAAAAGGAGTTCTCCAAATAATACAGTGGTCCGGATAAGAAAACTAGTTAAGCAGGAACAGGATTCTTTGTGAACAGTAAATTGAGACATTCTATACATAATTTTGAACCAATATCTGATCGGTTATGTAAACTAAGGGTCAAAGGTAGATATAGAAACATATCTTTGTTTTCCGTATATGCCCCAACAGAAGATGCTGACGATGACATCCAAGAAAAATTTTATGATATCCTGGGAAGCAATATTGAAAAATTGCCCAAATATGATGCAATGGTGCTATTAGGAGACTTCAATGTCCAAATTGGGAGAGAAGAGGCCCTAAAAGTAGTCGCTTGAAGACACTCATTGCAAATCCAGGAAGAGATGTTGTGAATCAAATAGATCACAACCTGATATCAACTAGACATGCATCAAACATCATAGATGTGAAAAGTATGAGAGGCCCTACCTGCAATTCAGACCACTTTTTAGCAAGAACTAAGTTAAGGCAAAGGATAGCAAAGGTGGCAAGAGCAGAAACAAAAAAACGAACAAAATGGGACACTGAAAAATTAAAAGTAGAGAACAAACTGAGGAATTTTCAAAAGGTTATGGATAGAGAGATGGAAGTTAGAGGAAAATAAGCCAGAAGAGGAAAGTGGGCCAATTGAGAAGAAATGGAAAGTTGGAAAGGAGGCTATAGGCAAGGCAGCGGAAGAGACATTGGGAGAAATTACAAATGGAAGAAATGAGGAATGGTTCAATGAAGAATGTGCAAAAGCCATTGAAAAAAAAAAAATCAAGCCAGACAGAAGATCTTACAGAGATTCACAAGGCAAAACCAGAAGACCTACAGTATGAAATGAAGAGCAGCTAAGAAAATCTGTGGAGAGGAAAAGAGAAAAATGGTTTGTAAACAGCTTGAAAATATAGAAATGTTGAACAGTGTGCATGAAAGCAGGAAATTTTATAAGGGAATCAATTGATTCAGGAAAGAGTATCAGCCAAAGCTGAATAATTGTAAAAGTAAAACAGGAGAGGTTATGAATGGAGAAGGAGAGGTGATGAACAGGTGGATCAACATTGGTCGGGAGGTGAAGGATGTTGAGAATGAAGAAGAATGTCAGGTGTGGCAACCACAACCGCTAGTTGATGAACCTGGCAGAGAGGATATCGAGTGTGCCATCATGGACTTGAAAACTGTAAAGCTCCCACAAAGGACAGGATAGTTGCAGAATTGATTAAATGTTGCAGTGGTAAAATGAAGGCTCTAATATATGAGTTGATCTATGACGTATGGAGAGAGGAAAAGATGCCAGATAACAGGATTGGATATTAATACGTCCTGTTCTTAAAAAAGCAGCAAGGATCTGTGCAAAAATTATAGAGAAATAACCCTATTGGAGTCCTATATAAGCTCCTTTCTAGTTTGATATTAAAAAGGATGTGAAAATATACTGAGGAAATTTTAGATGATTACAAATGTGGTTTTAGAGCTAGCCGAGGTACTATAGATCAAATTTTTGTTATAAGAAAAATGATGGAAAAATGCTATTGATATGATGTCTGCACAATGGCCTCTTGGTCGAGCTCCTTGATAGACTGAAAAGACTAATGAATAGCTTTGTAGGATTTGTAATTGGGACCACGAGATGCTCCTGTGTCTTCCAGCACTACACTGACTTAGGGTGGCGCTTCCTCTCCTTAAAATGACAATATTTCGTAGGCACATTCCTTTATCAAATCATCAACAATCATCATCCTTCTTATGCCTAAAACCTTCTCCAATTCAAATCCCCAGTCAATTCCCTTACCACAAGATCTCGACTTTCTGACCTGTACATCTTTTTTTATAGATCTGCCTCATTCCAAAACTCCTTTGTTGCCCACTCAGTCAATTTCTGGAATTCCTTTTCTATCCAAATTCGGCATGCATCTACGTATCAAAATTCAAAAACCTCCTATTCCAAAAACAGTCAGATACCTGCTAACTATTGACATTAGACACCATCTACTCTCCATGGGGAAGGAGAAAAAGAGCAGTAGACTGGTGCCTCACAAACTTACTCCTCAGCAATTAGCTAAGAGGTTATAAAAATTTGTGAAAATTTATTGAAAAATGAAAAACCCTTCTGATATGAAGATCATCCATCACCTGTGATGAAAAGTGGGTTTACTGGCGAAATCCAAATATCCTTGAGCAATGGCTGGATCGTGGTCAAATTGCTTTGCCAGTTGCTGGATGGGACAATTAGAAAAAAAAATCCATGCTTTATGTTTTTTTTTAAATTTTGAAGGTGTTATTCATGAATTCTGTCTAAACTCTATTGAGAACAACTGGAAAGATTGTACAAAAAGTTGTCAGAGTGTCATCTTGCTTTGATCAACCGGTAAGGAATTTTATTTCAACAAAATAATGCTCATCCTCACACTTCCCATCGAACCAAATTAAATTTTAAAGAACTTCATGGGTTCGAACTCCTGCATCCTCCACCATATAGTCCAGACCTCACACCATCGGATTAATACTTATTTAGATCTATGGCCCATTTTCTTCAAGAGAAAAAATTTGATAGTTCTGCAGCAGTTGAAATTGCGGACCAAGATTTCTTTGACCACCTTTTTAGACTGACCACCCCAACTATTCTTCTCTTCATTATCCACGACAGTCAACCATTTACCAATTATGAATACAAATATTTTGTTGAAAACGGTCATTTTTTTTGTACACCCTATTAGTTGTTTCTTGAACCATGGACAATGTACAAATGCAAGATTTTTGTACTATTGAATATGAAAAAACTGAAATTATCTAGGGTGTGGCATTAAAATTTAACTCCACAATTTTTGGTAAATCATGGATTCAACGACTAAATTTACTTATGTTCCTGATTTTTTTATTTGTGAAAATTCAGATTTCTAATAAATAAACAATAACAGCATTTTTTCTTAATCTCCCATGGTTTTATTTATTTTATAATTAAGTATTTACAAAACAAACATATTTTGTGAGTAATTATTAATGTTTAGTGCAACCTATTCATCTAATTTTTATATTGCCAAAACTAAAAATATAGAAACAGTTGTAGTAGGTAATGATAAAATATTGTTATTTTCATGACTTCTTTTCTAAATTAAAAGTAGTTCATGAAAGTCTTCAATACTTAATTTGAAAAAAAAAATTGTTTGGGGTTAAATTCAGTTGAATACTGGTCTGGGAGTTTTAAAATGTAATCATAACCCAAATAAAATAGTTGCTGTAAGAAGGAAATGAATCAATGAAATAAGAGTAAATAAATAAATAATCTGTTACTGAAAATCAAAAAAATAAGTAGGTACTCAAAATTTACTTCTTTTTGACTCAAAAAGCACATGATTTTACTATTAAATTTTAAAATAATTAACAAGAATTTGATTTATTTTGAAAATAGCAATATCACTCTTGTGATCTTTGATCATTGGAAGGCAGGAAGAAACAATATTAATTATACATATCTTATAACATTTAAATAAATGTTATTTAATAAACAGTAAAAGATTATAATTAATATTTACCTAATCTACTAAAAAATGTTTGGATCATTAATTTTATTTTTTTTAAAGTATTTTAAGTATCATATAGAATATTGTAGGGAAGAAAACAAGGAAATTGGTTTTAGTAAGGATAATAAAGACTAATAAGGGTTAATAGGTTTATTTCATAGGAAGTAACTACAATGACGGAGAGATATTAATGAAAAAAAATATATATAATAGACCGTTACATCACTTAAACTATAAAAAAGGCAAGCTAATTTAAAATTATAAAGACCATTTAAGTATCAAATAAAAATTCTTTTTGAAGAATACATTCTTATGGAAAACTTACAGAATGATTCATTGCATAAGGTGGTCCAGGGGCTTCAGTTGGTGAAGTTCCCACTAAAGTAAACTTATTGTTTCGAATAAGTTGCGTAGGTGAAAGACTTCGAGGAGAACCACTGTGCGAATTCTAAGCAAATAAAACTAAATTTTAATCATGAATGTTTAACCGTCTTTTTATAAATTAATCATTCATAAATGACCCTAAAATAAATAGACTTTATAAGAGGTTAGACTAAACCTCTTATCAAACTTCCATACATCAAAAATCTCCATATACTGTATTTTTAACATGAAAAAATAGAATAAAATTTCTATATATCAAACAAAAATTCCCATTTAAAAAAAAAAATGTACTTGTCATCAAAAATTATTCTTAGTTTAAATTCACAAGAATAGGTAATAATTTAAAAAAAACATGTTTCATTGTATACAGCAATTAATAGTTGAGAAATATGTTTAAGAAGAGGTAATTGTAGTACCCATAAGAGTGAGATTCTCTGAATCTATTTTCTAACATAAGAGTAAAATTCCTTATGATGAGAACTATGTATTAATATTTAAGTATTAAATATGATATGATTAAATTGAATTAACTTTTTATACAAAAATCCTAAAAAGTACTGAGGATAGTCAACAAGTTAACTTAGTCTTTCTTATTGTGAAAATTGATGCTAAATAAGTCATCAAGCATGAAAAAAAAGTTACTTGATAAAAGACATAAAAAGCGGATATGTGACATATCCTTTCTATGAAAAATGAAGAAATGACAAAAAAATATTAAATCAAAACGTAATCGATTTACATTAAAATCGATAGTAGTTTTTAAAATTACATCCCCGAAAACTTAATATAAGATATTGATACTGAATAAATGTGAACAGCTTAAATAAATAGATACGTAATTGATTTACATTAAAATTGATAAAAGATGGTGAGAAAGAGACTTAAAAGATTCTCTGTGTCACAAGTGTCTCTTTAAAGAGATACTTTAATAGGCATCAAATAAAAAAAGGCCTTTTTGTCTCAATAAGTAAAATACTTTATTTTAAATTTATCCAAATTTTTGCCTCTCCAAGGATAAAATCTGTTTTTACAATATATTGTAAATTTTCATTTGAAAAAAATATAAACAAAAATTCTTTCAGAGGATTTACTAGTAGACATTAACCTATTTATAAAACTCATAATAACATTAAAAACAAACATTAACGAGTCAACAATATGCACATAAAAAAAAAAAATAACAACGAAACTTACTCGCTTATACCAGTGCACCATTTTTTATACCTATTCATAGCACACAACCGAACGAAACCAATCCTTCAGGGAAGGAGAGATGCTGTCAATATTAAAATATTTAAACACTATATGTTGGGGCCAGAGGTATTTCAAAATGAAAATACAAACCTTTCCCCAGTGAGTTTCCTCAAAGGTGGGGAAAATACAAGTAAAATTAAATGTTAGGAAAGGAGGGAAAAAAAGAGACCTGTAAAACAAGGTATAAACGCATGCACATATAAATAATATTCAATTAATTAAAATGGAAAACAAAATACAAAATAATTCCCCTTTTCAATGTTTACAATTTATTGAATAAAGAAAAACGAGGGATATATACAAACAAAAGTTAAAACAAAAAAAAAAATAAAGAATGGTACAAAAGTTTCGAGATAAAAATATAACATAAATACAATCCTATGAAAATAAAAAATTGTCCATCAAATATAGCATAAATAAAAAATAAACATCTAAAATTAGTGATTAAAACCAAGAGGAAAAACATAACAAAGAGAAAAAACAAAAGAAATTAGTATTTAAATATCCCTTGGTGATGGTGGAGAGAAGACAAAAAACCATCCAAGTTGAAGGCAGATCTACTTCCAACGAGGTTACCTTTTGAGGTCCTGCAGTCGAGAGATGAGGCAGCTTGGCCGGGACCGAGAGATGTGGCTACGCTAGGAATGGCATCAGTGGTAGACAAAGTAGAAGAAGAAACAATAAATATTTTGAATAAACAATGATATTGATGGATGTCTGATTGGTTTATTCTTAATATACATGCCAATAAAAAAAACTTTTATTTTTACATTTGTATTAAAATAATAATTTTTGATTGTTATTTATATAGTGTTTAAATATTATAATGTAGGCAATGCCTCTCCTTCTCTGAAGGATTGGTCTCATTCTTTTGTGTACTATGACTAGGTATGCAAGATGGTGCACTACTATAAGCAAGTAAGTTTCAGTATTTTTTTAATATCCATAATGTAGACTTGTTAATATTTTATTTTAATGTCATTATGAGTTTTATAAATGGGCTAATGTCTACTAGTAAATCCTCTGAAAGAGTTTTTACAGGATATATTTTTTATCAGATGAAAATTCACAATATATTGTAAAATCAGATTTTATGGCTGAATCAGCCAAAATTCGGATAAATTTAAAATAGAGTATTTTAATTATTGAGACTAAAAAGGCCCTTTTTATACCAATTAAAATCGATAATATTTTTGAAAACTATTAGTAACATCACATTTAAACCTTAAAAGTTAAAATAAATCGATAAGTTATCAATTTACATTAAAATCAATAGTATTTCCAAAAGCTTCACTCCCAATAACAAAATAATGCGATATCAATATTTAAGAAATATGAAATATTCTACTCCTGTCGAATGAAGAACTCAATTACTTTGAAAAATACTCAAAATAAAATAATCCTGAGTGAAAGTAATAATAGGTAAGGATGAAACAAATTTGTCAGGAATTTCAGTCAACATTTCTTTAATGCGTTAGCTGATGTTTCAACCTTAACATGTGGGTCATCATCAGGGCTAAAAATTAAAAATATAAAATAACATCAATAAAATGGTTATTTTATATTTTTAATTTTTAGCTTTGATGATGATCCACATGTTTGTGTTGAAACATAGGCTAACTCATTAAAGAAATTTTAACTGAACTCTGACAATTTTGTTTCATATTTATAATTTCAACAGTTAACTAAGTACCTATCTTTAAATTAAAAATTGGTAATACTCTGGAGGTGAGCTGAGTACTTTTTCTACTCACCAATCATCATGAGAAGCAGCGATTAACGGACTTAAAGTAATTGGTAGAGAACCTGCATATAAGCCCACTATTGGCTCCTACTGTCTACACATGGAAAGTAACAACAATGGACACAGGCTTATAAGGTTCGCTACAAATTATAGACTAACCCTAGGTAATACCCTTTACTCAGGAAAGAAGATCTACAAAGCAACCTGGAGATCTCCCAATGGCCTCGTGGCCAGTCAAATGGATCACCTCTTAATTGACTTTTGCCACAAATCTAATTTGATGAATGGCAGATTTTTAGAGGGACAAACATAGACATGGATCATTATTTAAGCATAGCCAAAATTATAGCAAGAATATGCGTTACCAGATAATCTAAAAATCACTCTGTAAGAAGATATAACATTGATAAGCAGAAAGAGAGAGAAGTCTTTGTTTAAATGAAATTTGTTTAAAGGATGTATTGAAGATCAATGAAAAAAAAATATTCTGATGCTCTCAATGAAGCAGCTGAGAAAACCTTAGGTTATAAAGAGAGGCCCACCCGATCACCATGGTTCGATGAAGAATGCCTCCAGATAACAGCATGTAAAAATGTTGCAGCACCACACAAGGTCAGCTCAGGTATGTGGTGAGAGGAGAAGGAAGGAAAAACGAATCTATAAGAAAAAGACGAGAGCCTGGGAAAATCAAAAAGTTTTAAAAAGCCAACAAATCCAGACTATTCTCCCAGTGTTAATGATGGAAGAAAAACATTCTTACTAAATGTCACTTCTTATAGAGATAAAGATGGAACACTTCTCGTACATAATTTAGGAGGGACCTTTAATTCTAGCATTGCCTTGAATGCTTCTTCCCTGTTCACAGAGTCGTATGCTTGTTTAAAATCTGTGAACAGATGATGACTTTGGATCTGAAACTCTTGTTTTCTCCATTACAACTTGCAGCGTCTGGTCAATAGTCGACTTTCTTACTAAATTCACATTGATATTTCCCTAATTTAGGATCCGCGTAGGGAAGATGTCCTTCAGAATTTCCTAAACTTTATCATTTCATGCCCACTGTTCTTAAACAGCTCTGCTGAAATGTTGTCAATTTCTGGAGCCTTATTTGTTTTTAGCTTCAGTATTGCATCTATTATTTTATCGTTCAATAGAATCATCAATGTCCATTTCTTTTAAGTTGGATGTCAGATTAAGATGTTCCTGTCGGTCTACATGATCCATAACTGCAACTTCTACTTCTGTTATTAAAGAGCCATCTTTATTCATACAGGCATTGTTTTGAGGTTTATATGTCCGACACATAACATTGAGCATCTGGAAAAGTTTTCAGCCATTCCTGTATTTGTAAAAAGTCTCGATTTCACTAAGAATTTTGCATTCCCATTGCTGTTTCTTACATCTGAAAATGTGAGTTTTCCTTCTTCTTATGGCTTGCTACTCCTCCACCACATATCTTCCAGTGTAATGATTCTGATCCATTGTTCTATTTGCTAGATTTTGTCTTTAGTATACCTTTTTTTGTATACTTTAGTTATTATAAACCTATTGTTTCATTTTTACTTTCACATACCTGTACTATTTTCATTGATGTTCTCTATCAGGGCTTAAATGGCTAATTTTTAATGTTAGCTTCCTTTAAAGAACCTTTAATTTTTTTTATTTGAAATAATTAATCATTTCACATTAATCTTTGATATAAAAATAGTTAGGGATTAGAATAGTGGACTTCGCTATGGAAAGGAACATACACAAGGAGATTTGGGTATCTCCAGATGGGCTAACACACAACCAGATTGACCATATGCTGATCCAGGCAAGACACGCAACGGACATAGCGGATGTAAGAAGCTTTTGTGGAGCTGTCTGTGGTTCAGAACATCATTTCGTGAGGGTGAAATACAGACAAAAGATTGTGTTAAGAACCAGGGGAAGAGCTGAGAAACCTGCACCACGATTTGCTGTCGAGCGTCTTAAAGAAGAAAATGTGAGGCAGAGGTTTGTAACCAATGTTACTGAGAAGCTCACCAATCACCAGGAAGTACTTACTATTGACTCAAGGTGGACAAAGATGAAAGAAGCCCTTGTGACTGCAGTGGCAGAAGAGCTTGGTGAAGTTCAGGAACCAGCAAGAAACGAAGCAAGGAGAATACTTCAACGGCTTACAAGAGCTGCTGCCCAAGAAATCAAGGAAAAGAGAAAAGAAGCCAAAAAGACATGCAGTCGGAAGAAAAGATTATCTGACAAGAGAAAATTAGAGGCAATACAAGAAAACTTGGATGCACAAGACTCCAGGAGTTTGTTCAGAGGTATAAGAGAAGTTAAGGAGGGATATAAACCCCGTCTTAATTTTGTTAAAGACAAGGAGCTTGTGGTTGGCAAGGAAGCAGTTATTGGCAGATGGGCAGAGCAATTTCGGGAGCTGCTTAACCGGAGCAGAACAGAAAATGCAGAAAAGCTTAATAAAATAGAAGTAGACCTTCACTCTGAGGCACTAGCCGATGACGACGTTTCCTCCCAACAAAGAGGAAATAATGGAAATTGTGCAGGGTCTGAAGAATTATAAGGCGCCAGATATAGACGGAACCCAGGCTGAACTTTTCAAATGTGGTGGAGATGAAGTTTGGAATAAGCTCCATAAACTTATTTATGATATATGATGGAAGAAGAGGTCCCAGATGAGTGGAAAGTGTCGGTCCTATGTACAATCTATAAGAAAGGAGAAAAGCTAGAGACCAGGAACTATCGAGACATAGCACTGCTTGGCATAGCTTATAAAATACTACCCTCAGCCATTGGTAGGAGACTGATATCATACATGGAGAAGGAAGTAGGTGAATATCAGTGTGGCTTCAGGAAGGGTAGATCGACTATTGATCAGATCTTTACCGCCAGACAGGTGCTGGAGAAGTCATTTGAATACAACGTCGACCTGTATCACCTCTACATTGATTTTCAGCAGGCATACGACTCAGTGGATAGGCAGTTATTGATGAGGGATCTTCTGTCTTTAGGTGTGTCTAAGAAGCTCAGTCACTTAGTAAAAATTACTATGGTAGATACCAGACGCAGAGTGAAATTACAAGGATTGCTGTCTGAGGAGTTCTCTGTGATTTCACGAATAATGCAAGGAGATTCAAAGGCTACTCCCCTTTTTTAAAAGGACGCTTCCAGCGCTGGCAGGTGCATTGAAAGAATTTGAGAACGCTGCAGCAGCTCAAGGTCTAAAAATAAACAAGCAAAAGATGATGTACATGAAGAGTTCAAGACATCGCCCTCATCAAGATTGGACACTAAACATAGGCCAACACGAGTTCCCAGTATGCAGAGAGTTCAAGTACCGGGGATCCCTTATGATGGCAGACAAAGACATAGGAGCTGAGACAGGAGCCAGGATTTCTGCAGAAAGTCGATGTTTTTATGCCATACAGCGACTATTTAGGTTTCAAAGACTATCAAGAAATGCCAGATTGACAATCTATAAAACAATGATTTGTCCGGTAGTCATTTGGTTGTTTGGAGGTTCCGATACAATTGGGAGTTGCGACAACTCTACAGGGATACAGATTTCGTTAGTGTTAAGGCAGGACAAATAAGATGGTTAGAACATGTGGAAAGGATGGCAGTGGAGTGAGTACCGAGAAAAATATTATATGGGCGACCTGGAGGAGCAAGAAGGAGAGGAAGGCCACCATTTCGTTGGCTGGAGAATGTTGAGGCGGATTTGAGACGGTTTGATGTCAGGCGGTGGAGGGCTGTCGCATTGGACTGAGACGAGTAGCGACATATTGTTGAGAAGGACAAGGTCCTACGCGGACAATAGTGCCGAGGAGTAAGTAAGTATAAAACATAGTTAAATGTAAAATATGAAAGAATTTAACAATTAACTACAGGAGAAATAAGAGATTGTAACAGATAATAGTTGTAATAGAGAAACCAAAGGAATGCGAGGGCGCCCGAGCTCACCTGAAAGATTAGGACATGCTTCCATACGTAACATGAGCTTAATATAATACGTACTCCGACCATATTATGTACATATAAATATGCGGTTTTCATAAATGCTATCATTGGTATTATCTAATATTTAACTGTATAGATTACAGCAATATAAAATTTGTATATAAGAGTATTTAAACAAATACAAATACCCACAATGAAATGTAAATAAATATAGCGTCTATAATTTTCTCTTTCACTTCTCCTTGGTCTGAAAATACTTATTTCTGCTAAGAGGGTGGTAAATGAAAGTTGTGTGATGCGCGCACCAGATTTTTAGAGTATGATACAAATAATGATCAGTCATTTTTTTTTGTTTTTGTTTGGAAAGCTAAATAGGTTTTTTATTTATTTATACATGCTATTCATTTTCACCAATATTATTTGCTTGAATAATGGTATTTAACTATGTAATAAAAGTTACCTAGTTCCTCAAACAAAGATTGCAAACCATTGAGGACAACTGGAGGCGGAAGATATACGCAAATTCTACACAGACATTAGGAACGAAAGGATAGGATATAAAGCGAAAAATACGCAAATGCGAGGAAAAGATGACATTTTGACAGCATCTAACGAAAAGATAATGAGCACCTAGAAAGAACATTTTCAGGAAATTCTCAATCAAGGAGACCTCATGAACAAAGAAAACATGGACCACACCGAGGACCTTGACCCAGAAGATGTTGAAAAACCAGATATACTGAATGTAGAAATAGGAATAGACAACATACCATCAGAATTGTTTAAAGATGGGGGAGAATACCTCAGATCCAAGCTGTCAGATCTAATCCAGAAAATATGAGAAGAGGAAATGATACCTAAGGATTGGAATATAGGGTTAATCTGTCCTATTCTAAAGAAAGGCTCCATGTATGAGTGTAGTAATTACTGAGGCATAGCACTCCTTTCAATAGCCTACAAGATAATGACTAATATCCTACTACAGCGGATATATCCGTATTACAAAAATATAATAGGCAACCGCCAAGCTGGATTCAGAAAAGAAAGGAGCATGCTTAACCAGATCTTCATCATAAAACAAGTACTTAAAAACTATGGGAAGTAGCTCAGGATGTCCACACCCTATTTGTCGATTTCAAAGCAGCATATAATTCTGTGGACAGAAACTATTTTTGGAAAATCATGACTGAACTGGGAATTCCCCATAAGTTGGTGAGATTAACAAAGGCGTGTACAAATGACCCTAAATGTTGTTCTAATACAAGGTAAAGTATCTGAAGCCTTCAAAGTTTGAACAGGATTATGGCAGGAAGATGGACTATCATCGATGTTGTTCAAATTAGTCCAGGAGGAGGTGATAAGAACATCACAGGTAAATGGAGAGATCTACATCGGAATGAATCATAAAATCTTTGGATACGCAGATATAGCTGTCCTTGGAAGTAATCAAGAGGACATTGAGAAACTCGTTAAATAAATGAAGACAAAACAAAATGTATAATGATAAGCCGAAAATAACAGGATCTGCGTAGGAGAAAAAACATTCCCGAGAGTAGAAAAATTAAAATACCTAAGCTCCACAATAACCTCAACGAATGACTAATGGTCAGTTATACCAGCGTATAACTAGCACAAACAGAGCTTTCTTCTCCTTTCAAAGGTATTAATATCCTGAAAAATCTCAAGAAATCTCAAATTAAGGGAGTACAATGCTATGATAAAGCCAGTTCTAATATATGGCTGTGAGACCTGGACACTAACCAACACTCTAGAAAAAAGAATTGAAAGATAAATCCTCCACACAATAACCGGAGCTATCCGGGATCAGAGTACTACATGGAGAAGAAAGACCAATCATACCAATCATACCAATCACTGCTGACAGAAAGTAGTTGATCAATATCTCATGATATGAAGGCATGGAGGTTAAGATGGGCAGGGCATGTAGCTCGTAGCAATCTATCTGGAAGAATCTAACATAACAATGAATGCCTCAATAGAAGGCAAAAGACCATGTGGAAGACCAAAAACCAGATGGATAGATAGAATCAACAAAGATGCATGCAGATAACTGGAAAGAAATAACCCAAGACAGGTAGAGATGGAGCAGCCTGTTAAGGTGGCAAAATATCTATAAGGTCTGTAATAGCAACAGAAAAAAAAAAAAAACACTACGTAATTAATTATTCTTGAAAAAGGATTGAGATTGAGTTTAAGGATGCAAAAGGCAGTGTGTTCGATGTTTTTATTTTTGTATTTAATCATATTGGGTCTATAAATCAAAAAATATAGAAATGAAACCAATTGATTGTGAAATTAAAAAACAAATTAGTAATACAAATTATATTCACTTTCAGGATTTTCTAGTTCCTCTGGCAAAATAATATCTTCAATTTTGTCTGGTATCACAGGCCCTGTCATTTGATTATATATTAGTCATTTTTTACTTGCCACCCACAGTAAAGAGGACTAAGTGTTGGTGGATCCGCTAAATTTAAATTGGACCATAAATATGTAATAAATTTATCAAAAATAACAAGATTGTGTTGCTTTGTACCCAAAGAAACGATATTTAAAGTTTTTTCTTACAATCTTTGAGTTCCTTTTTTTTTTTAAACAATATTTCTTAAAATATGTTATCAATTCGCATAGGTTATCTTATAACCTTCTGCGTGCAGCTTGATGATATTCAATAATAATAAAAAAATATTTTTTTTACACACATGCACGCACATTAATTAAACATGAAAAAATATTTGAGTATTGTTAATACAATTGATATGTTTAAATCCATTTAGAGAATATGTAATTTAGAAGATTCCTTAAAATGTATGTCTTTGGAACAAACGTTTTGTCAAGATAAAATATAAAATCTTTACTAGTCAAAAAATTTTAATATATTTAAAGTAACTAGTAACTTACATTGTAACAATGTGTTTCCTCTTGATCAATTGGTACATCCAAGGGAGAAGGTATATGAAAATTGGATAAATCAGGAAGAGAACCAGTGTTATTTGCAATTGGGATTTGTATTGCTCCTGGCTCTTGCTGTGATGGATATATGCTATAAAAATAAAATAAAATCATTAAATAATGTCAGGCAAAGCCATAAAGGATTTAAAATGATTAAAATTTAATAAAACCTTAATCTAATCAAAATCTCTACATACTAGTACTGGTGGAGGAACTAGTCTGGCAAGTAGACTCTGCATTCATTTTAGCCAACCAACAGCTACCTTGAGGTTGCCGCCATATATTTACCAGAGTGGAAGTGTCAAGATCTACTTCCCGGGACCCCAAGAAATGAAAATTAATCGCCCCCGGTGAGAATCGAATCCACAAAGATCAACAATGGGCACTCTGGGACCCATAAAGAACAAAAACCAGCTGGATAGATTGAATAAACAATGATGTTACATGCAAAAAATTGGAAAGTAATAGCCCAAGATAGGCAGAAGAGGAAACGGCTGGTTCAAGTGAACCAAAGATTCACAACGTCTGTAAATCCCTTCTCCTCCCCCCAAAAAAGTTTACTCTACAGGATAATGTTCCCCCATTTTACATTGCTTTTTCCAACATTTTGAAATTGTGGGCCTAAGGATTGTACTTTGCCGTTATAAGATAAGGTGTCAATTGTACTGTTGCAAAATGGCTACACATTTTACACCATCCATATCACACTTTAAATCAGTCAAAAACTTAATTCATAACTCTCCTGTTCAATATACCTTCAACCAAACCAGTCACTAATATATTTTTAATTATAGCATTCATGATACAAGTTTCATGAATAAGCTCATATTTATTTAACACATTAATTATACTGAAACAACTTTAAGGAAAAAATACCTAATCCCTGGAACCCTAGGCATATCTAATGCTGATCGAGGTCTTGCTTCGGGATTACAAGAGAAACTTCTTTTCATAGATTCATAATCATCATTGACTTGTGTGTGGCATTCATTAACACCTAAAAAATGATATTTTAATAATAATAAAAAAACAGATTAAATAGTTAGTAAAAAAATATTCCTTTACAGAAATAATACAAATTACTTAGAGTAGAGTATCGTTCTTCATTCAAATGAAGTTTAAAATTATAATTTATCATCAGTCTAATATTTTTACGATTATTAAAATCACAAGATAAAAAGTGAAATTTCACAAGAAGGTAAATTCTAAAAGAAGTTAGGAGACTAAAGTGAAAGGTCTGAAAATTATATTTTTCTGCAAATTCTCAGAGTTGACATATAAAGTTAGAATTGATCTAACTTTTGAACTGTTGGAGATAAACTAGTTGAAAATTAGCCCAAAGTTGAGGATTGATATCTCGGAAACTAAGCGAAAACCCGAAAGAATTGACCTTCCAGGCTCCCCCTCACATCTGGCTGATCACCTAAGAGTGGGGACTTTTAGTATGTTTATCTCCTTACTATTCTTAACAATGTCCTAAAGTCAAAAATTGTGTTCCCTTCATTTCCTTTTATTTTCTTCTGGGGCCCATCTTCTCCTGCCAAACCATTTCTTTAGCCTCACCTTTAGTGTGTCCCAGCAGTATGTTAGGTCACCTTGGATTGAATTTAAAACTTGTCTCCAGATACAATCAATTAGAGAGGCTTTGAGAAGTCACTGATACTAAGTCTGGGATACTATTGGGTTCTTAATTTGATCGCTTCCCTTGATGAAATGTTTAATGTGTTATTACTATGGTACAAGGTTCTAATTGACTAATTACTTCATGGATGAATACAGAGACATACATATCTGCATTCTTATCTTCACCCATTCTAATAGTGTCTTTTCCGCCATTTAAGTCAACTGAGACTCTAGCTTTGACAGCTCTGCCACTGCCTAAGCCAGCTGATACTCTAGCTTCAGCAGTTGTTCTGTTTCTCTCATAATTATTCAATGTATTTATTTTTCAATTTTAGAGTTCTCAGATCGCTAACTGCTTAGGCTATGTAATTGTATCTCAAAAATCTTCTGGCTTTCGGCACCAGTTATGATTATACTGAATACATAGATTTAAAAAAAGGGGGGAGGGTTGAGCAGAGTAACGACATGACTTCTGGAAATAAATTGCACTTTATTATGATTTTTATGTGGTATATATAGTGACAGAGTTTGTTGATAAACAATATCTAGCTTATTTAACAAGTCACATAGTTCTTGCTGTTATTAACATCTTAGATACAGCTAACTTTATACATACATATATATATATATATATATATATATATATATAATAATAATAATAAAAAGGCTTAGCGAACCCGAAGGTTCGATGCCGACACCCCCAATCGCTTATTGCACACCTCCCTCCATCGTTCACCGTCCAAACCCAGTCCCTTCAGATCGGCTTTAATGCCGTAAAATAAAATTAAGTAAATTTAAGTAAAATTTCTAAAACAATAATTATGTAAGAACAACTTTGTTATTCATAACATCTCCAAAACAGATGATGAGAACACACTGGGGAAAGTAAAAAAAACTTGTTCTAGTTTTAATGTACCAATACCAGACTATGCAATAAATAATTGCTACCATCATGGTAAAGGCCCAATACTAATGTCGCTGAATAATAGCATGGTCAAATAGGAAATATTCAATAAATAACTCAGGAAAAAATATATATATATTAATCAAGATAAATCACCAGAGGAAAGAAAAGAATTCACACATATCTTACAGAACTAAAATTATTAGACAGTAACGCAAGATTAAAAAAGATTTTTTCAAATTTAGAGGTAACCATTATACAATCGATGAGGTTAAAAATATTTTAAGTGTGTCACAGGAAAAGGTACATGGTGAAAATAAAAGTAAAATAATAATAAAAGGTACAATGTGAAAGTAAAATAAATGAATTATAAGTAGATATTAAATAAGAAACAGTTGTCTGATAAAGAAATAATAAGATGACATCAGAGATATAGTGGGTGATAGTGTAGTTAAAATCTCAAGTATTACATATATAGAAGAAACATACCATGGTGGGCAGCCGAATGGCCTAACGCGTGTGCATAGCAACCTGATATATGACTCAAATGATATAAAAATAGTCACGAGTTCACGTCCTGCTGGCGGGGGAGTCTTTTAAATCCCCGCCCTCATCTCCTGGCCCAGGAAAACCCAGTATAGCCTTAAAGCGAGGAAGGGGATGACCCAAAAAAAATAAATAAAAAAATACGTAATCATAATACAAGTCAAACATACCATGGTATCAGGCACTGCAGTATAGATAGACTGGCAGTCGTGGTGGGCGGGGTAGCCGAATGGGCTAAAGCGTGTGCACTGCACCGCCGTTGCCTGGCAACCTGACATATGAATACAAAGATATAAAAATAGTCACGAGTTCGCGTCCCGGTGCCGGGGGAGTCTTTTAAATCCCCGCCCACACTCCCTGGCCCGGGAAAATCCCGTATAGCCTTAACGGCGAGGAAGGGAAGGACCCAAAAAAAAAAAAAAAAAAAAAAAAAAGACTGGCAGTCGAAACAAGTCTAGTACCATGTATGTATGTATGTATATATATATATATATATATATATATATATATATTCCCAGGTTGGGTTGAGACAACTTGTGTTAGGGTTAGGATCAAATATATAACTAACCGTTATAACTGATCCCTAGGTTCTAAAGTTGAGTACTCTGTATTTGAAATAAACTCACTTTTATTTCACTACAAAGTTTACGCAAAGTTAGAGTGCGAGTGTGCTAGAGTGCGAGTGTGCTTTCTCTGAACACTATTATAAATGTCCTTGATGTGACAGAATGTAATATTTCTAAATAAACAAATATAAAAAAAAAAAAAAGTTTACACAGAGATTTTAGACCTTTTGACTTTTTATAACAACAATAATAACAATTATTCACATATGCATATTTCAACAATATGTGAAACTATTATATATTTATAAAATAAATATCACTTCTGATTTATTCCCTAACATCCTCCCACCTGATGAGTTTTGCATTGTTTCATACAATTCCAAAATAGTGAAACATAACCAAAGGAACTCTCTTCAGTCTTCAAATCCTTTTTTTTTTTTTCTTCTCTTTTTTGAATGCTCCTTTTCCTTAGAAATACCTTTTTTTATCCATTCTATTTCATACGAAGATGACTCACTGTCTTCATTTGTAGCAGTTTTCTCTATGAAAATTGGTTTAGTTGGTAGTGAGGGACCATACATTAGTTCTGGAGCATCAGCCATATCAGCACCCGATGAATTTTTAATATCATTTATATTTTGAATTTTAATTCCATCATTTTTCTCTTTTCGTATCCTTTGATACAATTTCTTAGGTTGAATATTTTTCAAAGTATCGTTAGCTTTTACTTGTTTAGCAGGATCACCAATGAATTGTCAAAAACTTAACTCATCAGAACTTTTGTCTTCTTCAGTCTGTTTCTTCATTGAGATCAGTTTCGACTTCCTTTCGATGGTCAGGTAATAATTCTCCTAAAATGGTCGTTCTATCAGAGAAATTTTCAAAAACTTCAGGACAAAATCCTAATTTTCTTTGAGTAATATTTGGATCAAAGTCAGGTTGTAATTCATAAGGTGGATAATATTTCTTTCCGTAACTTTGGATTTTAGCTGGTATACGGCCTTCCATGCCATTGTAATTTTCAGTCTCTACGAGCATTTCTTGTTCTTTTTGTCTTTCTTTCCTCCTAGCTTCCTTCAAACTAGCACAGGCTTTAAAGAAACGTCATATCTGGACATATCATTTTTAACATAAATTTCTTCATCTGCATCCTCAATTGTCCTAATGCTATCTTCATTAGCATCATCTTTAGCACACGTGTCTTCATCTTCATCCTTAAATCTTCTAATGCTATCTTCCTTAGCATCATATTTACCATATATGTCTTCATCTTCATCTTCAAATGTTCTAATGCTATCTTCATTAGTATTACCTTTACCATATATGTTTTCATCTTCATCGTCAAATGCTCAGACACCAAAAGCCTGGCCATGGATTGATGATGTATTTTTATTTTCACAAACTTTCAAAGGAGTTTCAAAAGAACCAAATATTCTTTTGTCAAAACCCGAATTAACACAATGTTGATCGTTATTTCTAATAGAAATTTTATCACCTTTAATGGCATTCTGGTACTTAATTTTAACAATCTCATACCTTTTCCTATATACATCAGCCACTTCCTCATCATTTTCTATTGAAAGATCTAATATTTCCTTCTGAATCAATTCCAAAATCTCAAACTTCTCGTTTAAAAGCTCTGAGTAAGCATACACTTCTTCAAAATTATCACATTTAATCAACTTTTCTAACTCGTTAGCACAGCTTGTGAAGTCAGTGCAGAAAATTCTTCTTATCATCTTCTTACCTTCCATTGAATTCAGTCAACAAACTAGAAACTAGAATACTCAACAGGTCCTGTCACGGTTGCCACTTATGTTCGGGTTAGGATTAAATATATAACTAACCGTTATAACTGATCCCTAGGTTCGAAATACAATAAAGTTGAGTACACGGTACCTGAAATAAACTCACTTTTATTTCACTACAAAGTTTACACAGAGATTTTAGATATTTTGACTTTTAGACTTTTTATAACAAAAATAATAACAATTATTCACATATGCATATTTCAACAATATGTGAAACTATTAAATATTTATAAAATAAATATCACTTCTGATTTATTCCCTAACAATGTGTGTATATATATACCATATACCATACACTCTACCATGGTATAAACACACAGAGTATATATGATATACTCTTCATATAGCCTACTATTCCATTGCCCCTTTCAAAAAACCTAAATGTCAATTATTTATATATACTGTATCTTTTTTCATCAACCTTGTTTACATTTCTTCTTACATTATAAATTTCTCTTCTAATTTTTACTTATAGAGTTATATACACTGACAGGCAAAAAATTCAACAAAAAAAAGTTTGTTTTCAATTAGGAATGTTAATATAGAGGACAATAACCCTCAATCCTTAATTCAATGAAATGATTCTAGATTCCAATGTTTGCTTTCTATGGAATCAAAATGTTTATTCAGTATCATTAGTTCAGTGCTGTTTCTTGCAGCACATTTTTTAGTCTCCGGCTTTTAATTTTTTCAATATTAAGTTTAAAAATGCCTCTTAGTGCTGAGGATGTTGCGCGTGGTGTGGCACTTATTGATAATGGACGTTCCATTAGATATGCAGCTAATGCCATCAGAGTTCCATATGAAACTTTACGAGACGCCGTCAGGCGTTTTCGGGAAACTGGTTCTTACAATAGAAGGCCCGGTTCTGGATGGCCTAGGGTAACAGAACCACAGGATGACCGGTTTTTGACTTTGAGAATTTTATGAAACCGGCACCTTACCGTTGTTCAAGCGATTCATCAGCTCGAAGAAGTTCGAGGTGTGCAAATTTCTGAACGTACCGCTCGGAGAAGATTAAATGAGTATGGATTAATGGCTTTTCGTCCAGTAAGAGAACCAGAGTTGACCAGAACTCACAGAGGAACACGGCTGGCTTTTGCTCGAGAACACAGCCATTGGACTATGGACGAATGGAGTGCTGTACTTTTTACAGATGAGTCAAGATTCACTCTTCGATCTCCAGACGGGCGTAAAAGGGTGTGGAGAAGAAGAAACAAAAGATATGCAGCCTGTAATTTTTCCCAGAGCCAACCTTTCCAACGTGGTTCCTTAATAGTGTGGGCTGCGATTTCAATGGAGCGCCGCACAGAATTGGTTGTTGTTCGTGGGGGGTCTTTGATGGCCATTCCCTATGTAGATGAGATTTTGGAACCTCATGTATTGCCTATCCTCAACGAAATCGGCGATCGTTCTATTCTAATGCACGATAATGCACGCCCGCATAGTGCAGACGTTCCTTCAACAGAACAATATTGAGGTTTTAGCCTGGCCAGCACGTTCTCCAGATTTGAACCCCATTGAGCATTTATGGGATAACATCGGAAGACGAATAAGAGCGCGTGTAACACTTCCTGATACACTGCAGGACATTGAAAGGGCTCTTCGGGTGGAATGGGCTATCCTCCAGCAAAGCGACATTTCCCGACTGGTGGAAAGTATGCCGAGGGGTCATCAAGAAGTAGTGAAGGCAAGAGAAGGTGAAAACACGCTTCTAAACGATGATGTAATTAATTTCTTTTAGAATAATAATGGTTCGTTTTTCAATTTTTTTTTTTCTAATCTTTCTTACCCAATCACATTTTGATTATTAAAGGTAAAAAAGATTATAAAATTCCATAAATACTAAGTATTATCTACAAATACCAGGTATTATATACAAATACAACTTTTTTACAAGTGGGTGGAATTTTTTGCCTATCAGTGTATATTTAATAAATCTATCTTAACGATATTACAATTCATGTTATCTTATTAGTTTTTCAATTTTTCTATTTGTTAACCTTTAGTCTTGTTATCTGTTTACCTACATTTATCAAGTGTAACCTCCACTAGCTTGTTATGCATTGATATCTTATTCTTATTTTACCTTTACTAGATCATAACTTATTAATTTTTCCATTTCTTTATTCGTTTAACATCATTTTCTTTATATGTTAACCTAAAGTTATCAAATGTAACCTTTACTAGTTTGTTATCCACTCGTTCCTTATTAGTCTGTGGGCCAGACCCCTTTACCGTGCACACCTCCACATCCCTATAAATTGCATATCGTTGTGTTCCTTGTGAAAATTTATTAAAAAAAAGCCAATGTTCCCACAAAAAAAAGTGAACGAACTGCCCCAAAATGGCATCCATACATGGCAGATTGACGACTTTGACTTTAGTTAGTTTTTTTGTTACTGAGAATCAGCATTTGGCTTAATTTCATCATAGTTGGTCTTTTATTAAAGCTGGATAGTCAGAGAATAATAAAACATGAAAAAATATTAAAAACTAATTGGCTTAGGCAATAAAAAACATCGGTAAAGTCAATTTTTTTAACAAAAAATTTTCAAGTTGAAAATCAAGCGTCGTTTGTAATTAAACGGACAACAATAATGCAAAACGTGCTGAAATAAAACATCTGGAGAGTACATTTCTCTTTCTAAAACACTGATTACTTTTTAAAATATTTGAAGTAGTTCCGTAGCAAATGCACATAAGCGGCAGAAAAACGCTACTGGCGTAGGTGCCTTCAGGCCTCTACCACACCACTCAGTACTCATAAATGGCTTAGTTATAGTGCTATAATAACTTTTTTTGTTATATTATATTTATTGCATTAACGAACAAATATTAATAAAATAATTTAATTGTCAAAAAAAATTAAACAATTTTTTTTATTTATTATGATGTAGAGATGGTTGACCGTTGATATAATATGAGAAGATTATATAATTATAATAATAAAACTTAATTCAAAAATAATTTACAGAATATCTTGAATTTTTTATTTAATGTTTGCAATTTAACACTTTGTTTTATATATTTGCTGATTCTTAGAAGTAATTTAAATTGTATTTACTTCCCCGGAAATGAGTCATATTAATATCTGTTTTATAAACTAAAATAATATATATACCTAATCTGAACTACTTTTAATGAATAGGTGATGGATTGTTTAGTAAATTAGTAAAATTCATATATCACTATTAAAAAAATCATTTTTATTTTCTTTATTTTGTTTGGAAGGTGGACCATATCATAAAAAATAAGAAATTTTAATATTAAATACATTATTCTCTCTGCATAAAAGAAACATAGAAAGGGCGAAGCTATAAGTTCTTCTAGATAACTGGAACTGATTGTTAGTATTTGGTCTCAAAATGAGGGAAAACGCGAAATTGAACCCAAACATTGCATTTCGGGTTACTTCTTCCAGACCAGCTTACTTGCCAATTGCTTAGAACAAATCTTTCTTGCTGATAAAATGGTCTTCACCATAATAAACCTGCTTAATATCATCCAAACTGATCAAGCAGCTTCCTTTGTCGTTCGCTTAATGTATTTTTGCAACTTGAAAATTTTTTTGTTACTTCACGTTCACTTTTTTTTGTGGGAACATTGGCTTTTTTTTTAATAAATTGTCACAAGGAACGCAATGATATGTAATTTATAGGGAAGTGGGGGGGTGCACTGTAAGGGGGTCTGGCCCACCGTGTATATCTTTTATCACAATCTGTTTACTTTTAACTTACACGCTATATTCACTTTTACTTTCTATTTTTATTCACACTTATTTTATATTTTTGTTTGTATTTTCTATATATCCAATACTTGATATTCTAACTACACTGTCACCCACTATATCTCTGATGTCATCTTATTATTTCTTTATCAAACAACTGTTTCTTATTTAATATCTACTTATAATTCATTTATTTTATTTTTACCATGTACCTTTTATATTTTGTATCTTTTGAAGCCCCAATGAAGACCTACAAGAGGGTCAAAACGTTGACGTAACGATTAAAATACTATTTTAAAAATTTAGTTTTTATTTGATCACACCCCCCCGACCAACTCCTTCTCATATTATATCACGGTCAACCATCTCTACTCCATTATAACAGTATAAATAAAAAGCATGTATTTCTGTTCCTCGAATCAATTTCGAACAACTCTAATTCTCTAACAGATTAGCCAGCTCGAAACTTCTGGATGGAGCCTTATCCGTGAGAAAATCTCTCTGTCTCTGTCTCTGTCTCTCTCTCTCCCTCTCCCTCTCTCCCTCCCTCCCTCCCTCCATCCCCTCATACTCCCCCTCATACTAGAAATTGACCCAAGACAAAATTATTACAAATATAAAAGAGCAATTGTAGAGGTTGATCACTATCATAAATAAAAGAAATAGATTCCATAGATGGCAAAAGATAGGGACAAAAAGAAAAAAACATAAAGAAGTAATAATACAAACATGATTAAAAGAGCAGAACCTGTAGTAACTGGCACGTTAAAGGTAGAATAGAATAAACAGAAAAAAGAAGCAATTGCCAAAACTAGATTAATTTAACTAAATAATGCACTGATTTTAGCACCTTATGAAAGGATTTAGTTAATAAAAAAAAAAAAAAAAGATTTTTTTTTGTAATTTAGGTTAAATTCAAAAAAGGGTGCAGAATGAAAAACCAATAGGATCGACTACTTTCTATGAAGTACTAACAATTGATAAAAATCAGAATAATAAATATTTTACTATCTAATATAAGTCTTTTTAAAGGTAAATAGCATTAACAAATATCTCCTCTACAAAAAGTTATCCATAATTTTCACTATTATTAATTATATATTTGTTCTATTGTTTTACATAAATCAATGATCAATGATTTGTCAAATTTGACTAAAAATACCTCTTCTGTGACTATTATTTTCATGAGAACTAGTATGAAGAGATGAGTCACTGTGGGTTCTTCTCCATGTGGTGTCTAAAGGTGGAGATAAATAAGAACCGCTATACGGTGAAGTATCAATTCGTTTTTCAGCTGGGCGTGATCTCATGGGTCCAAGAGCAGCACTACGAGGTCGTTCACGATAAACTAATGGGTGATGCTGATGAGAGTTTCTTAAATCATCAAGAGAAGTCAGACTTTGCTAAACAAAACAAAAGAACAAAAAAACATTTTATATGTCTTATTTATGTAATGACAATAATAAATAAAAAATTGAATAGTACAAGGGGGGACCCAAAAGTTCCGGGAACGGGGTTGTGGTGGGAAGGTTAAGTGGGGGATCCAGTTCTTTGGTGGAACACCTCTTAAATCAGTGTGTGACATTTGGTTGCTGTAAATGCTTCCGTTCAAACGTGAGATTTTTTTTAGTGAAAGTGCTTTTTCCGTTTTTTGTGAACAAAAATGGCTGACTGCTGGTAGCAATGCACAACTGTGAAACTTTGTTTTCTGTTGAAGAAAACACCTGTAGGAACTCTTTTAATACTTAAAACAGCTTATAAGGATGATGTCCTAAGCAGAACACGTGTTTACGAGTGGTTTTCATATTTCAAGAATGGAGAGATGTTGATTAAAGACCAAACTCATTCTGGACATCTCTCAACTACAAGAACAGATGAAAACATTGAAAAATCGTTAAAGAGGATTTTTAAGAGTTGAAAGAGAATATCCGAAAGAAAAGGGTGGATTTTTGGCATACATGGGATTGGTTCTTTCACCACAACAACACATCTGCTCAAACTACACTATTTGTCAAGCAGTTTTCAACCAAAAACTGCATAACCAACAATTGTTCACCCACCCTATTCACCGATTCTAGGCTACTGTGACTTTTTTGACATGAAACTGAAATGTTTAGAGGCTGTGGAGGAAAAAAAAAAAATCGCTAGAAGGGTTAAAGGATATCCCAGTAAGTGAATTTAAAAACAGTTCTAAACAACGGCAGAAATGACTGTACAAGTGCATCACAGTCAATGGAAATTACTTCGAATGGTATAAAATTTAGTTTTAAATATGGATAAATAAAAAAGTTATGATAAAATGCCTGTTGTTTTTTTGTTTTTTTTTGGTGCCTCTCTTATCTATAGTATTTTATTATATTTTAATTTTCAAAAGGATACAGATAATGAATTACAATAAGAAAAAACATTTTTGCACAAAAAACTTTTTATTTACTGACAACTGGTACTTGTATAAAAAAAAAAAAAATCATGCAATTTTGAGCTGCAATAGATTTCAAGTGATAAATATAAGATTAATAAAGTGTAAGATTGAGATTACAATTTTCAAATGATAATAAATAAAAGTTTATATTTAGCTAAAAACTCAAAATAACGGCATCTGGGAGATGTGGTGGGAACTGGGGGTTAGGCCGGAGTCCACTGTATAGCCCAGTAAAGTTACGAGGAAAAAACATCCTCACCCTAACATTCAATAAATGAAGAAAGGACTTGTTTATTACCCTCCCCATAATAACTGGTAAAAAGTCCCAAGTAATCCCACACTGGGTTTTGATGGGGGAGGAGAAGGACAGAAAACTGATATTTTTTTAGTGTTTTGAGAATATCTCAAAGCTATGAGTTTTTTCACCAAGATTGTTCAGTACAATATTAAAGTACTTTAAAATATTGACTTTAAAATTATTTATTATTTTTTTTTTTTTTTTTGATAAAATCAATGGTTACAGAGATATTTTTGAGATTATATTTATTGTATTTCCACTTTAAGCATAAATTGCTTCAACCACATAATTGATGTTGTTTATAATAGACAATACCTTTTTTAAGATTAATTAATTTTTAACATTTTCGATCATTCAAATTATTATTCAAAGTTTCTTTCTTCTAATGATTCTAAAAAGTCATATAAAACAGAGTTATATTCTATATCAAACAATGGGGAATTTCGTGATAATGATATGAAGGTTAGATTGACATTTAATTTCATATAGTATATAATATGTGATAGAATACATTAAAACTTATAAAAAGTTACCATAAACCATCGTCTGATTACGTAAATAGAACCAGGAAATTTAAATTTCGTAATTTTAAAGCCAACCACGTTTTGTGCTGGATAAAAAGTAATAACTAAAAAAATATTTAATTTAGGTTACAACCAATTATTTCATAGAGAACTAGATTAAATTTAAATTAAATGCTAGTAAATCTTGTCTTTTTTAAAACCATCTAAAGGTGACTTTTAAGCAGTTAAACTACAGTAAGTTCGGTTTTCATAAAATTAAGGATATTTTGCAATTTTTTTATAACCCCCCAACTGGTTTGAAGATACCACACTATCAGAAAATCTTATCTGTTTGATAAGCTCTAAGTCTATATTAATTAAGTTGAGTTTACATTTTCTCTAATTGAGTAAAAATATTATCAGTACAGTAAAATTAGGAATTGACCCAAATATTTTTACATATTAACTCAATTAAGGATGAATCTCAACTTACTCTATAACAAACCACAACTTAATTCATATAGATGTAAAACTCATCAAACAAGAAAGTTTTTCTGAAAGTTTGGTATCTTCAGTCCAGTTGTGGGGTTATTAAAAAAAAATCATGAAGAATTTATTTTATTGATTTTATGAACTTAACATAGTTTAACTGCTTAAAAGTCCCCTTTAAATGGTTTTAGAATAGTCAAGATTCACTTTCATTTAATTTAGTTTACTATGAAGTAACTGATTGTAACTTAAATTAAACATTTTTTTAGATTTTTATTTTTATTCAATATTAAATGTGGTTGACTTAAAATCACAAAATTTAAGTTTCCTGGTTCTCTTTATGGTAACTTTTTAAAAGTTTTAATGTCTTTTATCAATTATACAAAATTAATGTCAATCTAAACTTCAAATCAATATGAGGAAATTCTTCATAGATAATTCTGGTGTCAATGACTTTTTAGAATCATTAAAAGAAAGAAACTTTGAAGATCAAAAATGTTAAAAACTAATTAAACTACAAAAAAGTATCGTCTATTATGAACAAAAACAATTTTGTGGTTTGAAGCAACTTTTGCTTTATGTGGAAACACAATAAATATAATCTCAAAAATATCTCCGAAACCATTGATCTTATCCAAAAAAATGTATAATGTCATTTTTATAGATATTTTCAAGTACTTTAATATTGTACTGAACAATCTTTGCGAAAAAAAACTCATAGTCTTTGAGATATTCTAAAAAAAAATACCACTTTTCTGTCCTTCCCCTCCCCCCATCAAAATCTGATATTTCATCTTTATTTTTTTAATGTTGGGGTCAATCCATAATATTACTGGACAAGTAGTGTAACATGTACGACCGCTAAATATGATACTCGCAAATCTAACTTTGTCTACTCTATATATATATATATATATATATATATATATATATATATATATATTTATTTTAACCAACATTTTGTATTTAGAAACAACAGGGTGAAATAAAAAACAAAGATATTTTTAGGGTAATACTCTTGAAGTTGGAAACCATATTCTAAATTAAAAAGTATTAGACACCTAACAATATAATCTAGGCGCTAGTAGATTATGACATAGCCATGTCTCTTCTCTCGTCACTAGATACGTCCCTGCCACTTTTCTTTAACACCGATTTTCTTTGCGAATATGCATCAAAATAACTCTAGAAAATGGAAATTTTAAGCAATTGGGAATAGGTTGATTATGGAGAGAAATAAGATACTGATAAAATCTAAGGGTTTATGCATAGGGAAAAAGGAAGTCAATTTTTTTATTCTTAACTATTCCTGTATAATGTGGTTACCTATTATTTAGTATCATTCATCAGATCCCTGATTGAAGTTTATGGAGAAACAACTATTTTGTATGTGTAGCTTTAATACGGTTTTCAGGTGTATTTCAAGTTGTTAAAATATTTTTCAATCTCTACTTATTTAGCAATTTAAATAGATGTCTATGCATGGGTAACATTCTACATTAGTGATGTCGAAAATGGGGGAAAAGCTTTCCAACAAGCTCCAGTTCATGAAATAGTGCATGTATTGGTTCAGGACTGCTTGTAGGAACAAATCCAATATAAAACATTTTTATTTCATTCCTCATTGTCAAGAGGGTTCTGTTTAGTGTCACTGATATCAAATTCATTACTTTCAGTCGGGTTCTAACCGAATTACACAATCCTTCCAACTGGGTCTATGGCTATACTCTAATTCTAGCCCCTAAAAGATTGCTGCCCAGGAGATATTTTCATTACTCATTAGGGCAACATATCCAAGCAAAATTGTTCAAATTTTATTTATTATTTCTGCTCCCAATAAGCTCAACATTCTTTCTTCTACAGGGATAATAAATCTTAACAGGACCAAATATTTTTAAGAGAATATTTTTTTCAAATATGATGATTTCATTTTTCCTGGCCTAAATCAAGTCTCTGAAGCACCAATGAAAACAGCAGAGATCAGCATCTTGTAGGTAATATATTCATTTCCCTCATGATGAAGTAGCTGATAAGGTGTTTCAGGGGCCCCAAATCTCACCTGTGGCTACTCAAGACTTTTCAATTTATTTAAAAGGGAAATATTATTTTCTGAGGAAATAATAGATCTTAGATACTAGTCTGTGGTGTAAATAAGATCTCCTGAGTACAAATAACCAAATCTCACAAAATAACATGGGGATACTTGAGGATGAATGTGAAATCGTTAAATGTCTCTCATTGTTATCTTAGTCTTAGAGAATCACTTGTTCTTTGACGACCTCAATCATGTGCTTCTCACTAAATATTGGGTTGTCCACAAAATAATGCAGGATTTCCGTTTAAAAAGAAAAAAGAAAGATTTACAACTGTTCTATTTAATCAAAATAATCTTGACTACTATCAATACATTTCTGCCAACATGTTGGCAACTTTTCCATGAGAATAGAATTTCCTATCTTTAGAATTGATAAACTCCAAGAACACATTTTCTAATTTGCTTTGTCTAACAAATTTTTTTTCACATAAGTAGTGGTCCAGGTGTAAAAAAAACTTTTTTTACCTTGAGCTGGTCATCAACGATCAATTTGCTAAGGTTAAGTTTCCATGTAAGTTCTCAAACAGTTGTTCTGGGGTTTTCTTTCACCAAAGCCCACAGAACATTGTCTTCAAGAGAGGAAGTCCTTCCATGAC